CACGGCGTGTGTTTGTTATTGTGTGTAGTATATTTAGAGATAGATAATGTAGACAGATAGAGTCACACAGATAGATAGATAGATAGAAGAAGAGGACAGCTACAAGAGGTCTGCTAAATCTGGATCTTTCCTCTCTACCTTTGGAAGCACACGTCCACGTGTACAAATGTAATATATATTTTATGCATGGCGATTTTTTCCTTATTTCCATATATATTGCAGTATGAAAATGACGGCGGTGTTTCGCCATATTTGTTTTTTTTTTTAAGTTAATATGGTTTAAGTAAAGGGTCCAAAATTTAAATACATCGTTTATTATTAACAAAAGTATTAGGAACAGCAGTAAACAAAGAAAAATCATTTTTTCTCTCAGTGTAACAGAAGTGATTACAGAGGAATTATTGTTTTTTGGACTGTGTCGTTCATAATGAATAAAAATTTCCAGCTACTGTAGTTAGCTAGATAATATAAATGATATCAGAATAGCTTTACATTTGTATCTGCATTTGCGCACGAAGTAACACATCACGGAGTAATTCCCTTTAAAACACCGTAATCACTTCGCTGTCTTGGTCGAGAGAAAGAAAGGATAACAGGGAGGAGAAGAAGACTTATCCTGAGAACCTGTTGTCTCTCGCAAGAATCACGGCGGAATTGTCGAAGGAATTGCTGGCGAAGTTGCCGCCGAATCCCCCGCTGACGACGCCGCCGTCGACGATTCCTCCGTCGATTACTCCTCCATCGATTATTCCTCCGTCAATAATTCCTCCGTCGACGACGCCGCCGAAGGTCTGTTGCTGAGCGTTGAAGGCGGGGGCGGAGGTGAAGACCTGACTGGGGATCGGGGCGGAGGTGAAGAGCTGACTGGGGATCGGGGCGGAAGTGAAGACCTGATTCGGGGTCGGGGCGGAGGAAAAGGAGACCGGATTGGGTCTTGGGGCAGGAGGGAAAGAGACCCGATTAGGGGTCGGAGCAGAAAAGGAGACTTGAGTAGGCCTTGGGGCAGATGTGAAGGAGACCTGATTGGGTCTTGGGGCAGATGTTGATGATGGGCTGATTGGGTCTCGGGGCAGATGTGAAGGAGACCTGATTGGGTCTTGGGGCAGATGTGAAGGAGACCTGATTGGGTCTTGGGGCAGACGTGAAGGAGACCTGATTGGGTCTTGGGGCGCTGATGACCTCCACGGTCCTCCCGACGTTGGGCTGTTGCACGCTGAAGCTGCGAGTGAAGTCCTGAGACGCGGCGGACGCGGCCCCCGAGGAGCTCTCTTGGCTGAGGGAGTTGGTGTAGTAGTTTCCGACGGCGGGTCCTGGCTCCTCGCTCACCTCGGCCTGGAACCCGGAGTCGCCGTCCACGAAGTACCTGACGACGCTGCAGAGAAGTCAAACGTTTAGAATTCACGTGATGTGATAAGAAAATATGTCTTATATGATATATCTACACTGCTCATCTGACAATAAATGTGCATATAGAGAAATCAAACCGAAATGTCACCCACGTGAAGAGGCCGTTGGGAAGAAGCCATCGGTACTCGCCCTCGGTTCTTCCCGAAGGAGAGACGGACTGCTTGTGCTCCTTCGCGTCTCCCGTATCCGGCACCTCCACGCCATACGCGAAGTCGTGGGGAATAGGCTGTAAAGACGAGATTTATCGAATCTTCGCATATTTGGGGATCAGGGAAAGAATGACAAACGCAGGACAAACAACTAAATAAGTACATAGAGACGAACTACGTACCGCTTGGTCGTCAACGAAGAACTGAGGCGCCGCTGCGATGGAGGCCACGACCACGCTGAGGATCAGAAGCTGAAATGGAGGGAATAATCTCTTCTGAATATCTGTCTTTGAAAGAAAAAACTTTATTCACTCTTCAGCTTTCCTCATACAGCCTTCTTATAATAGTATTGACAGGATTATATGCACAATTCTGTCAACAATGAATACCACCATTGCATGTGTGTTAATGTTACTATTATAATTTTGTTTCGCATTTGTTCCAGCACACAGAAATAAAACGAATGTGTTTCAAAGGCTACATGGGAACGAGGTCTTCCCAAGTACACTTCTCCTTTCAGGCTCTAGTCCTCGCTCACCTGTTTGGACGCCATGGCTGCGGAGAGGAGAGGGCGAGTGTGACCGTCCAGCCGAGATCCCCGTCTATATACCCTCCCTTTCACAGCAGGACGACCTCAGCGCAGGAAAGTAGGGATGCCATGTCCAGTTCTCGTGTTTCGTATTATGCAGATTGAGAAAGGAAGTCTAGATTGTTTGTAGTCATTTTCTTGATATAGAGCAATTTAAGGAAACAGACATTTCAGTAATAGGTAAGTAATAACTGCATGGAATACCTAGTAATCGCTGTATGTTAAAATGTTACATACACTGAAGTAGACCGCCTACTACCTGGACGCTGGGCAAGGGGTGAGGAAGGGGTGGGGGAGAAAGAGTATATTTAAAAAAAACGAAAAAGGCCTAAACTCTTTGAACGGATCCTGAACGCCTTTTCGAAAAGCTTTCCTTGAACTAGTATTGGTTGTCTTTTTTTTTAGCATGATTTATAGAGTGCCTGACAACGTTTGATCTATTTAAGAATCAACATGAAGAGAGTACTCAGTCAGACGACGTATATGTCAGCAGAAACTTCTCTCCATCATAACTCCGTAATATTGAACTTTTAGAAAGGAAAAACTAAAATGACATCAAATATTGAAACTTAGCAAAGGCGGTCTCTCCTGCACAGTGTGAATTTCTTTAGTTGTCTCTCTCTTTGTCTATGTCTCCCTGTTTCTTCCCCCCCTCTCTCTCTGCCTATCTGTCCGTCTCTCTTTCTGTTTCGGTATATGTTTAAATGTTACATAAACTGAAGTAGACCGCCTACTACCTGGACGCTGGACAAAGGGTGAGGAGGGGGCAGGGGAGAAAAAGTATATTAAAAAAAAAACGAAAAAGGCCTAAACTCTTTAAACGAATCTTGAACGACTTTTCGAAAAGCTTTCCTTGTACTCGTATTGGTTGCCTATTTTTAACGAAATCGAAATCTTTGCATGCTTTGTAGAGTGCCTGACAACGTTCAGTCTATTTAAGAATCACCATCAAGAGAGTACTCAGTCAGACGACGTAAAGTCTCAGCAGAAACTACCCTCCATAATAACTCTATATTGAATTTTTAGAAAGGAAAAGCTAAAATTACATCAAATATTGAAGCTTGCCAAAAGTGGTCTCTCTGCACAGTTTAAAGTTCTCTAGTTACCTGTCTTTTTGTTTATCTGTTTCTATTTTATCTCTGTGTCTGTCTGTCCGTCTCTCTTTCTCCCCCTTTATCTCTGTCTCTCTCTGTCTTCCTGTCTCTCTTTCTGTTTCTGTTTCCCTTTCCCCTTCCCTTCTCTCTATCTTTCTGTCTGCCTGTCTCTATTTCCTTTGCTCAACCTCCTCTCTCTCTGTCTGTCTGTCCTCTCCGCCCTTCACTCTCTCCCCCTCTACCTCTCTTCTCTGTCTGCCTGTTTGTATCTCCCTTTCTCCATCCACCCTTTCTCTCTATCTCTCCTCTATCTATAATCTCTCTCTCTCTCTCTCCCTTCTATCGTTAACTCTTCCCTGTCTCTCTCTCTCTATCTCTTTCTGTGTGTGTGTGTGTGCATGTGTGTGTCTTTACTATCTACATATTACACAAAAAACACACACACACACACACACACCACACATATATATATATATATATATATATATATACAATGATAGATAGAGAGAGAGAGAGAAAATGTCCTTTTGTTCAATCAAAACCTTTACCAACCGCAAATGAGCATACTGTATACCAGGTCAATGAAAAAGTTACTGGATTAATGTCGGTCAAAGAGATTATCCCATATTTGAAAAAAATGCAACAGGGGAAATGCAAGGAAATGTCAAGTGCTCCCTGATTATTAAAATATTGTGAAGGTATGGGTATTTTTCTCTTTGTTTATTCAAAAATGCTGAATCGAGTCCTCTATAGCTTGATATTGCAGTTTCTTGCCTACTTCCAGAGCTCAATAAACCATTGTACACTTCATATGGTCTTCAACTTGTTCTATACATTTTTGACTTCTTTATCTCATATCTTTGTGCAGCCGAACAGGTGAATACATCCGATATGGGTCGATAAGAATGTCAACATTATGGCATATTGGTTGCAATTGCGGTATGAAATGAGATTGTCATTATTATCCGCAGACAGATACTGTTTTTGTTTCCTGATAGATTAAGAGCCGCCTTGAAAATAATCGATTGTTTTCAAGACTTGAGATGTGTAACATTCTTTGTATGTCCAAAAGGAAACTAGCTGCTTAATATCTCGTAGTTCAGTATATAGGGTCGTTAGGTATGTACTGTTTATGTAGACGAAATCGGTCTACCTATATAGCCTATATAGTACATGTGATGGAAAAGAAAAACATAAGAAATAGAAACGTTCAATTTATTGTCAACACATTAAATACAAATATAAAACAGAAGAAGAAAAATTCTCTCAACTCAACACAGGAGATTACAAGTACACTTTGGGCGGTTGATTCTCTGCATCTGGCATCAGTAGGTCCTTTTCAATTCTGTTTTGAATATGTCCAGAAATCCTGGTAAGAGAATATACAGTATAATACTATGCATGGTATCAAAATAGGTCAGGTTTGTTCGTATGTGACGTTCGATATCGCAGTTCTCTTTAGAACACCGCAATCTCTTCACTGTCTTGGTCGAGAGAAAGAAAGGATAACAAGGAGGACGACAAGACTTATCCTGAGAACCTGTTGTCTCTCGCAAGAATCACGGCGGAATTGTCGAAGGAATTGCTGGCGAAGTTGCCGCCGAATCCCCCGCTGACGACGCCGCCGTCGACGATTCCTCCGTCGATTACTCCTCCATCGATTATTCCTCCGTCAATAATTCCTCCGTCGATGAAACCTCCGTCGACGACGCCGCCGAAGGTCTGTTGCTGAGCGTTGAAGGCGGGGGCGGAGGTGAAGAGCTGACTGGGATTCGGGGCGGAGGAAAAGGAGACCGGATTGGGTCTTGGGGCAGGAGGGAAAGAGACCCGATTAGGGGTCGGAGCAGAAAAGGAGACTTGAGACTTGAAAGGAGAGCAGATGTGAAGGAGACCTGATTGGGTCTTGGGGCAGATGTGAAGGAGACCTGATTGGGTCTTGGGGCAGATGTGAAGGAGACCTGATTGGGTCTCGGGGCAGACGTGAAGGAGACCTGATTGGGTATTGGGGCGCTGATGACCTCCACGGTCCTCCCGACGTTGGGCTGTTGCACGCTGAAGCTGCGAGTGAAGTCCTGAGACGCGGCGGACGCGGCCCCCGAGGAGCTCTCTTGGCTGAGGGAGTTGGTGTAGTAGTTTCCGACGGCGGGTCCTGGCTCCTCGCTCACCTCGGCCTGGAACCCGGAGCCGCCGTCCACGAAGTACCTGACGACTCTGCAGGAGGCAAACGTTTAGAATTCACGTGATGTGATGAGAAAATATGTCTTATATGATATATCTACACTGCTCATCTGACAATAAATGTGCATATAGAGAAATCAAACCGAAATGTCACCCACTTGAAGAGGCCGTTGGGAAGAAGCCATCGGTACTCGCCCTCGGTTCTTCCCGAAGGAGAGACGGACTGCTTGTGCTCCTTCGCGTCTCCCGTATCCGGCACCTCCACGCCATACGCGAAGTCGTGGGGAATAGGCTGCAAAAGACCGAGATTTATCGAATCTTCGCATATTTGGGGATCAGGGAAACAAATGACAAACGCAGGACGAACTACGTACCGCTTGGTCGTCAACGAAGAACTGAGGCGCCGCTGCGATGGAGGCCACGACCACGCTGAGGATCAGAAGCTGAAAAGGAGGGAATAATCTCTTCTGAATATCTGTCTTTGAAAAAAAAAACTTTATTCACTCTTCAGCTCTCCTCATACAGCCTTCTTATAATTGTATTGACAGGATTATATGCGCAATTCTGTCAACAATGAATACCACCATTGCTTGTAAATGTTAATGTACTTAGATAATTTTGTTTCGCATTTGTTCCAACACACATAAATAAAATGAATGTGTTTCAAAGACTACATGGGAACGAGGTCTTCCCAAGTACACTTCTCCTTTCAGGCTCTGGTCCTCGCTCACCTGTTTGGACGCCATGGCTGCGGAGAGGAGAGGGCGAGTGTGACCGTCCAGCCGAGATCCCCGTCTATATACCCTCCCTTTCACAGCAGGACGACCTCAGCGCAGGAAAGTAGGGATGCCATGTCCAGTTCTCGTGTTTCGTATTATGCAGGTTGAGAAAGGAACTCTAGATAGTTTGTAGTCATTTTCTTGATATAGAGCAATTTAAGGAAACAGACATTTCAGTAATAGGCAAGTAATAACTGCATGGAATACCTAGTAATCAGTATATGTTTAAATGTTACATAAACTGAAGTAGACCGCCTACTACCTGGACGCTGGGCAAGGGGTGAGGAGGGGGTGGGGGAGAAAGAGTATATTTAAAAAAAACGAAAAAGGCCTAAACTCTTTGAACGGATCCTGAACGCCTTTTCGAAAAGCTTTCCTTGAACTAGTATTGGTTGTCTTTTTTTTTTAGCATGATTTTATAGTGCCTGACAACGTTTGATCTATTTAAGAATCCATCAGAGAGTACTCAGTCAGACGACGTATATTCAGCAGAAACTTCCTCCATCATAACTCCGTAATATTGAACTTTTAGAAAGGAAAAACTAAAATGACATCAAATATTGAAACTTGGCAAAGGCGGTCTCCGCAAAGTGTGAATTTCTTTAGTTATCTCTCTCTTTGTCTATGTCTCCCTGTTTCTTCCCCCCCTCTCTCTCTGCCTATCTGTCCGTCTCTCTTTCTGTTTCGGTATATGTTTAAATGTTACATAAACTGAAGTAGACCGCCTACTACCTGGACGCTGGGCAAGGGGTGAGGAGGGGTGGGGGAGAAAGAGTATATTAAAAAAAACGAAAAAGGCCTAAACTCTTTGAACGGATCCTGAACGCCTTTTCGAAAAGCTTTCCTTGTACTCGTATTGGTTGCCTATTTTAACGAAATCGAAATCTTTGCATGATTTGTAGAGTGCCTGACAACTTCAGTTTATTTAAGAATCAGCAGCAAGAGAGTACTCAGTCAGATGACGTAAAATGTCAGCAGAAACTTCTCTCCATCATAACTCTATATTAATTTTTTAGAAAGGAAAAGCTAAAATTACATCAAATATTGAATCTTGCCAAAAGTGGTCTCTTCTGCACAGTTTAAAGTTCTCTAGTTACCTCTCTTTTTGTCTCTCTGTTTCTATTTTATATCTGTGTCTGTCTGTCGTCTCTCTTTCTCCCTCCCCTTTATCTCTGTGTCTCTCTGTCTTCCTGTCCATCTCTCTTTCTGTTTCTGTTTCCCTTTCCCCTCCCCTTCTCTCTATCTCTTTCTGTCTGCCTGTCTCTATTTCCTTTGCTCAACCTCCTCTCTCTCTGTCTGTCTGTCCTCTCCGCCCTTCACTCTCTCCCCTCTACCTCTCTTCTCTGTCTGCCTGTTTGTATCTCCCTTTCTCCATCCACCTCTTTCTCTATCTCTCCCCTCTATCTATATTTCTTCTCTCTCTCTCTCTTCCTTCTATCGTTAACTCTTCCCTGTCTCTCTCTATATATCTCTTTCTGTGTGTGTGTGTGTATGCATGTGTGTCTATACTATCTACATATTACACAAAAAATAACACGCACACACACTCACATACATACACAACACACACACATACAAATATATATATATATATATATATATATATATATATATATATATAATATATATATAGTAGATAGAGAGAGAGAGAGAGAGAGAGAGAGAGAGAGAGAGAGAAAATGTCCTTTTGTTCAATCAAAACCTTTACCAACCGCGAGGAACTCTTTGCAAATGAGCAACTGTATACCAGGATCAATGAAAAAAGTTACTGGATTAATGTCGGTCAAAGAGATTATCCATATTTGAAAAAAAATGCAACAGGGAAAATGCAAGGAAATGTCAAGTGCTATCTGATTATTAAAATTTTGTGAAGGTATGGGTATTTTTCTCTTTGTATATTCAAAAAATGCTGAATCGAGTCTCTAGCTTGACATGCAGTTTCTTGCCTACTTCCAGAGCTCAATAAAAATTGTACACTTCATATGGTCTTCAACTTGTTCTATACATTTTTGACTTCTTTATCTCTCATCTTTGTGCAGCAGAAAATGTGAATACATCCGATATGGGTAGATAAGAATATCGACATAATGGCATGTTAGTTGCCACTGCGGTATCAAATGAGATTCATTATTGTCCGCAGACAGATACTGTTTTGTTTCCTGATAGATAAGAGCCGCCTTGAAAATAATCGATTGTTTTCAAGACTGAGATGTGTAACATTCTTTGTATGTCCAAAAGGAAACTATTGCTTAATATCTCGTAGTTCAGTATATAGGGTCGTTAGGTATGTACTGTTTATGTAGACGAAATCGGTCTACCTATATAGCCTAAGTACATGTGATGTAAGAGAAAAACATAAGAAATAGAAACGTTCAATTTATTGTCAACACATTAAATACAATTATAAAACAGAAGAAAAAAAATTCTCTCAACTCAACACAGGAGATTACAAGTACACTTTGGGCGGTGATTCTCTGCATCTGCATCAGTAGGTCCTTTTCAATTCTGTTTGAATATGTCCAGAAATCCTGGTAAGAGAATATACAGTATAATACTATGCATGGTATCAAATAGTTCAAGTTTGTTCGTATGTGACGTTCGATATCGCAGTTCTCTTTAGA